CTTTTAGATGCAATTTGTTACTGGACTCAACAAGAGTTGGTTTGGTGCTCCAATTTGAGGATTAACACCGAAATAAATTTCTGGCATTTTGGCATTTTCTAAAAATCATTGATCAAAAATGCCATGTACATAAAAACATGCACCACCACATATATATATATTTGTGGTAGAAAAAAAAAATTATTTCTACTCGACTTGTTGATTTATTTTTTTTCTGAATAATGTTGGTGAATAATTGTTTTCCTACACATTTTGACAGGGATGCTAAACATTTCCTGTCGGCAACTTTTCTTGAAAATCTGTGTCAAGAAAATGAGCAAAACTAAGAATAGATCACTGAATCTGTTTCTATGGCATTCATGTCTCAAATTATCATGCATGTTTTGGCAAGGATCATTACAGAAGATAATCAACAAAAGATGGAGGTGGTGAAATATATTGTTTTATTGCACATTAATTAAGTACTGTGCACAGTGAGTGCATACAATTAAAATATGTGATATAAAGATGTATATTTGATATGTATTGAATAGTTGACCCCCCCCCCCCCAAAGTTAATAACTAAAAATGCACAATAACTCCCACTATTATTTCATTTTTTTTAGCATATTCACTTGGTTCTAACATAGTTTTGCTTTTTAACATTTACTTAAAACCCAGTGAATAATAAATACTTTTACAGCATTTTACCCAAATTTATTTTGTTCAGATATAAAAAAAAATGACATGTTCATTTGCTTATTCAGTGTGTGTGATATTTACATTATGTAAATCTATTTTGTGAAATTTTCATTAAATATACATAATTAGGATTCAGCATGGCAATGAATCTTAACTGTACTCCATTTCAAAAGACCTGAAATATTGCTTAAAAATGCACCCACCATTGTTTCCTTCTCATTTGATATGTTGTCTTTTGAAAATATTTATATATTAAAAAATGCCTAAAAATTATGTATGACATAAATATAAACCCGCTATTTTGTATTTTTCCCAGCTAGGCGTGTTTGAGCAGTTTTTGTCTTTAATACATAATAGCCATGTTAGGCAGTGATGTGAGACAAGTCAATCATAATAATATTCTGTAAATCGCTCTGACTGCCTGTATGAAAAGTCAACAATCATGACTTTCTTTAAACTTAAAATACAAAATATTTACAGTACATTAAAAATGGCAATGCTAACATACATTTGGAACAGACATTTTTTAATTTATTCCTTGTGACTGACTTATGAGACTCAATTGTATACTGTAAAATTATTTATTCTCCACTGGCATTTAAATTTACTATTGATGTTATGAACTTTGCAGGTAAACAATTCTATTGGTATTTATACATGTTTTCTTAATTTACCAGGGTTAATGAAAATAGCAAATTTAAAAACCAGGAAATAATGTGTACACAGTATACATTTTCAATTCAATTTTTGTCATTTATGTTATTTATTTTTTCTCAACAAAATATCAATTAAAAGGCTGTCTACATTTATATTAGTTAGCCATACACATCCTAACCAGATAAGGTTTTTTTTACTAACTGGGTTTTTGACTGATAGTTTTAGTCGCTACATCAGCAGTTATCCATAATACCTGCTTTGCTTTATATTCTAGCATAGTGTGAACACCACACATCGATTGTATTTGTACAATTGTATGACAATATGGTGAGTCAACACAAAAAGGAACATACCATATTAGGATCCTCACTGAAATGATATGCCACTGAGGGCGCACTCACAATCTTGCACAGTGAAGCTAATGCAATATTTGTTTTTATTAAACCACTTTGCAACAGTGATGGCTTTTTTACGTTAAACATCCAAACAATCCATTTGTTTTACCTTTTTATGGGCACACCAAATTCAAGTATATTTCAGAACCCTACAAGTATTTGGTTGGGTTTACAGAAGAATGTGGTTTAAGGAAGTGCTGGGTTTACAGAAGAATGTGGTTTAAGGAAGTGCTGGGTTTACAGAAGAATGTGGTTTAAGGAAGTGCTGGGTTTACACAAGAATGTGGTTTAAGGAAGTGCTGGGTTTACACAAGAATGTGGTTTAAGGAAGTGCTGGGTTTACACAAGAATGTGGTTTAAGGAAGTGCTGGGTTTACACAAGAATGTGGTTTAAGGAAGTGCTGGGTTTACACAAGAATGTGGTTTAAGGAAGTGCTGGGTTTACACAAGAATGTGGTTTAAGGAAGTGCTGGGTTTACACAAGAATGTGGTTTAAGGAAGTGCTGGGTTTACACAAGAATGTGGTTTAAGGAAGTGCTGGGTTTACACAAGAATGTGGTTTAAGGAAGTGCTGGGTTTACACAAGAATGTGGTTTAAGGAAGTGCTGGGTTTACACAAGAATGTGGATCAAGGAAGTGCTGGGTTTACACAAGAATGTGGTTCAAGGAAGTGCTGGGTTTACACAAGAATGTGGTTCAAGGAAGTGCTGGGTTTACACAAGAATGTGGTTTAAGGAAGTGCTGGGTTTACACATGGTGTTAGTAATTTACAACATTAATGAACTAGAAAAAGATGTTTGTTATAGACATGATGCATTAAACATAGTTCAATTTGAACATTTTAAGTATCAGTTGAGAAATTTTATTCTAAATGTTGGATCCCAGTTTGTAAACCAAATACTTTTACACTAATTATGTTATTTAAAGTAATACACAAACAGCTGATTTTTTGCCATCATCCATATCCTTCAAAGGTATTTCTGATATATCAGTTTCAACAAGCTCTTGATGTAAAACTGGCTTTGTAATTTCTTCTTTGTTGGTGATTTCCAAAGTCAGAATCTGTGGGGTATCACTTGTATAATGATTAGTGTTTTCATTATTCATATAATTCAAACCATTTGACACTTTTCTTTCCTTCAAATTATTTTCTTCTTGTGACTGTTTCATCACACTTTTATTTTGCACCATGTTTTCATCACTAACTGTCAACATTCTTTCATCTTGATTTGTCCCATTTTTTAAATCTATTTGAACATCATGATTGTTTGTTTCAGTTCTTTTTCCACCTACACTATCATTCACAATACCAATTGCTACATTATTAACACCTGATTCACCAATATCTTCTTCATTGGCAGACCCACATTCTGCAATGTCATCTGTGCTCTCAAAATCATCTAATACCTCACCTGATGAAAAATCACAAAATTCTGTCTCTGATGTAAATAAAAACTCGTGACATCTCTCAACGACTTTGGACGGAACAATTTCTTTTAAATGATTGTAAAGTTCCTGTAGCTTCTTCCCTCTATAAAACAGCTCACTTTCTTCCAGTGTAAAGTCTATGTAAGGTAACTGTGTAAATGTCGTAGAAGCAGGCCCCCTAGGTGGCCAGAACATCTTCTCCATCACCAAAGGTATGATGGGTAATTTCAGTACGGTGGCAAGTGTCACTTCTCGGCAGCAATTGGTAGATTGTGCATACTGCGGTGTAAGAAGGCATATCATCACCTACATGACAAATAAATAATTTACACACAAATGGCATCAGACAAGTTTCTGCTTTTAACAACTGATATAGAATAGTATAAAATAATTTGTTTTTTGAATTACAAACTTTTAAAAATTATTTTATATTTATCAAATATTCTTGAAGTATCTCACAATTATTATCAGGTGACAGGTTAGCTATAGCAATTTTAATTATAAAAATCTGAAAACTACCATTATTTAGAATTTTGTGTCACATTATTGTTCAAATTTGTCTATTATTACCATTTCAGATTCTGTTCAAAATCGGTAAAATGATGGTTACATAAATTGTCAGATATCTGATAAAGTTTGTCCATGTTCATTTAAGGTATAATTATTATAAACTGAATATTCTTCAAAATGTCTGACTCATTAAATACTGAAAAATATCAAATGATTTTGTGATGTTAATACAGCAAAAGAGGTACTTATTACTTGGATTACAAGGTTACCTTGGCAACTCTGATAACTCTATCCACTTTATTGATGATAGGTTTAGCACCAAGATTAAGAACATCTAACCAACATGTAAAACCAAATTTAATAAGTACTGAGTATAACACCATGGCTTCTTCTATTTGGCTCCACTCATATGATATAAACACATCAGCATTACTCTGAAAACGAATAATTAAACAAATGTGTGACTGTCATAATGCATGCTCTTATTAATAATATGAAATTATTACGAGGATACTTCAAAGTATGCACAAAGACAGTACAGCGACAGTATTGACCGACTCGAGGTCAATGCGACAACATACTGTCTGAGCGCATACTTTGAGGTATCCTCATAATAACCTTATTATTATACATCTTTTCTGTCCAAGAATACATTATGAGATTGCCGAAATCCAAAAAGCTTAGAACAGAATCAGTGAACTTCTTTGTGTGTCAAAGCCTGGTGGCAGCCATGTTTGTTTTTATTATTACAGGACCCATACGTGTGTAATCATTCCATATTTGGAATTCCCATTTCCTTATAATGTAGGATGAAAATACCCCGTAAAATACTGCAAAATTTCTGCACGCTGCAACTTATGGCATTACGGTGACAGATATACTTTTTATTTTTTCAAGATAATTTATTTTTTGTGAAATTGAAGCAGGAAAAGAAATTTCCAATACTTACAGTTTTTTCACTATTTTCTGGAAAGCTTTCTATATTGTGTATCCAGTTTCTATACTCTGCAAAAACAAGTGTATAAAATGAGACTCAACCTGTACTATGGATCATTCCATTCACTGCGTGGGGCATAAATAAAAGTGCAAAGTGAGACTCAACCTGTACTATGGATCATTCCATTCACTGCGAGGGGCATAAATAAGAGTGCAAAGTGAGACTTAACCTGTACTATGGATCATTCCATTCACTGCGAGGGGCATAAATAAGAGTGCAAAGTGAGACTCAACCTGTGCTATGGATCATTCCATTCACTGCGAGGGTTGTGAATATGAGTGCAAAGTAAGACTCAATCTGTACTATGGATCATTCCATTCACTGTGAGGGTTGTGAATATGAGTGCAAAGTGGGACTCAACCTGTATTATGGATCATTCCATTTACTGTGAAGGTCGTAAATATGAGTGCAAAGTGAGACTCAACCTGTACTATGGATCATTCCATTCACTGTGAGGGGCATAAATAAGAGTGCAAAGTGAGACTCAACCTGTACTATGGAACATTCCATTCACTGTGAGGGTCATGAATATGAGTGCAAAGTGAGACTCAACCTGTACTATGGAACATTCCATTCACTGTGAGGGTCATGAATATGAGTGCAAAGTAAGACTCAACCTGTAGTATGGATCATTCCATTCACTGTGAGGGGCATAAATAAGGGTGCAAAGTGAGACTCAACCTGTACTATGGATCATTCATTCACTGTGAGGGTTGTGAATATGAGTGAAAAGTAAGACTCAACCTGTACTATGGATCATTCCATTCATGGTGAGGGGCATAAATAAGAGTGCAAAGTGAGACTCAACCTGTACTATGGATCATTCCATTCACTACGAGGGGCATAAATAAGAGTGCAAAGTGAGACTTAATCTGTACTATGGATCATTCCATTCACTGTGAGGGTTGTGAATATGAGTGCAAAGTAAAACTCAACCTGTAGTATGGATCATTCCATTTACTGTGAGGGGCATGAATATGAGTGCAAAGTGAGACTCAACCTGTAATATGGATCATTCCATTCACTGTGAGGGGCATAAATAAGAGTGTAAAGTGAAGCTGGACTTGTATTATGGGTCATTCCATTCTTTTATTCCACCATTCTTTAGTAACAGGGTCAGACACTCATGACAGACAGACATAATTATAATATCAGCTCCCAATTGGGATAACAACACCCACCTTCTTTTGTTATTTTATCCACATTTGGAGAAGTGTGATAACAAATCTTTGCTAATAAGTCCACAAAATTTGAGTGTGGCCAGTATTTTCTTCCACTTTGGTTGTTGGCACTGAACTCATATAATTGCACACAGGGAAACTGACAGTAGATGGCAGACATTGGTCCTGGTGGTGGCCATGACAACGGACCAATGATGACAGGAATGATGGGCTTGTTGAGTTGCTGAGCTAAATTGGCCTGCATATAAAAATATAATTGATTTGTATTCTAAATTATTTAGTATGTTTAGCTTGCCATAAAACTTGAAGATTGAGAATTTGTGCTTTAACCATCCTATTTTGTGGATTGTTACAAACCATTGAAAATAAATACAAGTATGTTTACCTGTTTACAACATGTCCTAGAATTGACATATACTCTGCTACACATGCACAGGACAACATCAGCTGATCTCATTGCTTCATCTACTACATGATACAATGTATCAAGATGTAAAGTTGTTCCTGTAAACATCCAACATTGAAAGCCTGCCAATTCTAGATGAAACTTCAAGACATTCGCATCAACTTGGTCGTCTGTATGGTAACTGATGCAAATATCTATGAGCTTCTCGTTTTCAGGAATGAGTGGATCTGCCAATTGAAACCAAAAACATTAGTAAATTGTTGAGTCATGATTCCTAAAAAAAATTAACTGTTTGAATGGCATCTTTTGTCAACCTTTCACACACAAAATTATGTTGAGTTATGAGTTAATCTGTTTGATTGAGTTATGAGTCAATCTGTTTGATTGAGTTATGAGTCAATCTGTTTGATTGAGTTATGAGGCAATCTGTTTGATTGAGTTATGAGGCAATCTGTTTGATTGAGTTATGAGGCAATCTGTTTGATTGAGTTATGGGGCAATCTGATTGAGTTATGGGTCAATCTGTTTGATTGAGTTATGAGTCAATCTGTTTGATTGAGTTATGAGTCAATCTGTTTGATTGAGTTATGAGTCAATCTGTTTGATTGAGTTATGAGTCAATCTGTTTGAGTAATGAGTCAATCTGTTTGATTGAGTTATGAGTCAATCTGTTTGATTGAGTTATGAGTCAATCTGTTTGATTGAGTTATGAGTCAATCTGTTTGATTGAGTTATGAGTCAATCTGTTTGATTGAGTTATGAAGGAGTCTGTTTGATTGAGTTATGAAGGAGTCTGTTTGATTGAGTTATGAAGTAGTCTGTTTGATTGAGTTATGAAGGAGTCTGTTTGATTGAGTTATGAAGGAGTCTGTTTGATTGAGTTATGAAGGAGTCTGTTTGATTGAGTTATGAAGGTGTCTGTTTGATTGAGTTATGAAGGTGTCTGTTTGATTGAGTTATGAAGGTGTCTGTTTGATTGAGTTATGAAGGAGTCTGTTTGAGTTATGAAGGAGTCTGTTTGAGTTATGAAAGAGTCTGTTTGATTGAGTTATGAAAGAGTCTGTTTGATTGAGTTATGAAGTAGTCTGTTTGAGTTATGAAGGAGTCTGTTTGATTGAGTTATGAAAGAGTCTGTTTGATTGAGTTATGAAAGAGTCTGTTTGATTGAGTTATGAAGCAGTTCGTTTGATTGAGTTATGAAGGAGTCTGTTTGATTGAGTTATGGAGTCTGTTTGATTGAGTTATGAAGGTGTCTGTTTGATTGAGTTATGAAGTAGTCTGTTTGATTGAGTTATGAAGTAGTCTGTTTGATTGAGTTATGAAGGAGTCTGTTTGATTGAGTTATGAAGGAGTCTGTTTGATTGAGTTATGAATGAGTCTGTTTGATTGAGTTATGAATGAGTCTGTTTGATTGAGTTATGAATGAGTCTGTTTGATTGAGTTATGAAGTAGTCTGTTTGAGTTATGAAGGAGTCTGTTTGATTGAGTTATGAAGGAGTCTGATTGAGTTATGAAGGAGTCTGTTTGATTGAGTTATGAAGTAGTCTGTTTGATTGAGTTATGAAAGAGTCTGTTTAATTGCTTATGAAGCAGTCTATCTAAGTTAAATTGTTAAATTGTTGGAGATAAATAAATGTTAACAATGTGATGTGTGGTTTTCCAATATATAACAAAATGGTGAAAATACAAGTTTTGATCCAAAATAAACTTACCTTTTGGTGGAATAGAGCTGTCTATTGTCTGCATGCAATCATTTCTACCTATAACCTGTAATGCTTTGTATACTGCATATGTTGCTTCCCTTCCTTTATGTGATGTGTACCAATCATTAAATAGGCACAAACTGGGATTATCCATCTCTGACAATAGTTTTATGTTATCACTGGCATAGCCCAGATACACAGCAAGAAACCGCCAGTCACTGTCACTAGGTTTATTCAGCAGACTGCTTAATTTATTGCACCATTCAGGAGCTGTTGTCACACCCTGCTGAAAATATATGGTTAAAAGCTTATATATATGGCACCCTATATGACAAAACTATGAAAAACTACTACAAAAATGTATTGCATATAAACCTTTCTCTTACCTTATTTGTTTTTTCTGGTTTATTGACTTTTGATTGTACTTTTTGAGGATTTACTGGGACAGTTTTCTTTATGATTATTGGTTTGTTATTCACTTCATGACTCTGCCGTGTTTCAGGACTTTGATGTTTTATCCTGGAAACAGCAGAGTTTGGCTGACTCCTCTCTTTGATTTTGTAAAAATCAGGTTCTGAACTGAGGGTTTGAAGAATAACACAATATTTGTAATGTCAGTAATTAAAGCTACCCCAGTAATTACTATGTAAGGAAGGTAAACACATGAGAACATATATGTTTTAGTGATATGTCTTGGTGATATGTTTTGTCCTAGTGATATGTCTTGGTGATATGTTTTGTTCTAGTGATATGTCATGGTGATATGTTTTGTTCTAGTGATATGTCATGGTGATATGTTTTGTCCTAGTGATATGTCATAATGATATGTTTTGTCCTAGTGATATGTCATGGTGATATGTTTTGTTCTAGTGATATGTCATGGTGATATGTTTTGTTCTAGTGATATGTCTTGGTGATATGTTTTGTTCTGGTGATATGTCTTGGTGATATGTTTTGTTCTAGTGATATGTCATGGTGATATGTTTTGTTCTAGTGATATGTCATGGTGATATGTTTTGTTCTAGTGATATGTCTTGGTGATATGTTTTGTCCTAGGGATATGTCATGGTGGTATGTTTTGTCTTGGTGATATGTCTTGGTGATATGTTTTGTCCTAGTGATATGTCTTGGTGATATGTTTTGTCCTAGTGATATGTCATGGTGATATGTTTTGTTCTAGTGATATGTCTTGGTGATATGTTTTGTCCTAGTGATATGTCTTGGTGATATGTTTTGTTCTAGTGATATGTCATGGTGATATGTTTTGTCCTAGTGATATGTCATGGTGATATGTTTTGTTCTGGTGATATGTCTTGGTGATATGTTTTGTCCTAGTGATATGTCATGGTGATATGTTTTGTTCTGGTGATATGTCTTGGTGATATGTTTTGTTCTAGTGATATGTCATGATGATATGTTTTGTTCTAGTGATATGTCATGGTGATATGTTTTGTCCTAGTGATATGTCTTGTTGATATGTTTTGTTCTAGTGATATGTCTTGGTGATATGTTTTGTCCTAGTGATATGTCATGGTGATATGTTTTGTTCTGGTGATATGTCTTGGTGATATGTTTTGTTCTGGTGATATGTCTTGGTGATATGTTTTGTTCTAGTGATATGTCATGGTGATATGTTTTGTCCTAGTGATATGTCATGGTGATATGTTTTGTTCTAGTGATATGTCATGGTGATATGTTTTGTTCTGGTGATATGTCATGGTGATATGTTTTGTTCTGGTGATATGTCTTGGTGATATGTTTTGTCCTAGTGATATGTCATGGTGATATGTTTTGTTCTGGTGATATGTCATGGTGATATGTTTTGTTCTAGTGATATGTCATGGTGATATGTTTTGTCTTGGTGATATGTCATGGTGATATGTTTTGTTCTAGTGATATGTCATGGT